AATATATATATATATATACATGTGTGTGTTCTGGTCGAATTGCATATATAATTCAAACCTGACCACAGGCACAAGAGCATTATATAAACTATCGTTACAAGTCCAATTCACAAGAATATATACAATCCATCATTAAATTTATCAACCAATTTAATATAAATATTAACTTAGGCAATAGAAAGAGACAACAACAGTCAAACACACATACAAATTATCAACCAATTTAATATAAATATTAACTTAGGCAATAGAAAGAGACAACGGCAGTCAAACTTATAATCCATCGGACTAAAAATTTAATAAGAATTTGAAGGCATTTTACAAACTTCAACATTTGCAGAGCAAAGTACTGTCAAGTTCTTTCATTTTCGAGAACTGTTGAGATACGGAGAGACGGATACTTGATGACACAGAAACAAATCAAAGGAAGGTTCAGAGAAGTGACAGTTGAAACCTTTTTGGTATTATACTTGACACAATTCAAAGGGATCAAGCTTCCTGTCATTATACCAACAAATCAGCTTACTCATCTCACTAGTACCTTTTTGGTTGCCATTGCAAATTGAAAGAATCCAAATCTGAAAACAATCACAGAAAAGCATGCAAAGAACATAATTCATCTCACTGGTACCTTGTTGTCATCTCCTCATAAAGTATTCAAACTCTTAGTACGGTATTAAATTGAGTTGCTATACAAATTTGGAAGATAAAATGTCGCAAATATGTCAATTCACTACCGGCGATAAGGGAATTAGAAAGATTTAGAGAGGCCAAAACAGCGTCACAATTCGGCCATGTTAAAGACTGATTTAGGTTTAGGTCCAAAAGCAAAGTTTGTTGTACTCAACTCAAACTACAACTTCTAGTAAAGTTCAAACTTCATATCTAGAAAAGAAACTATAGTTTTACCCTGGTTAAAATAGCATCATGAAAAAAGGAGTTAACTATTGATCCAACACTTAAAAGCATTTTTAGGTTAGTTCATGAACATAAACCCTAGATCATTTTTTATCTTAAGTATTTCTAGACTGTTTTAAGTGATTAAACAACAAGTCACTGTAAAAAAATCTAGAGTTAGCCCCACATTTCTCAATATCCAAGTCATAATAAAAATTAAAATTTATCAATTTCCATAGTGAAAGGACCTAGGATGTCGCCTAGAGGGGGGTGAATAGGCGTTTCTGAAAATTAACACCTTTGAATGCGGAAACAATTAGAAAGGGGAGTTTCCAAAATGGAAACTCCAAATTAAGAGTACTACCACCCCTCACAAGTTAGCCACAAAGTAAACAAGGTATAAAGAATATATCTAGAAGTTATAACCCTGCAAACACCAAGTTAGAACAGAGAATAAATATTTTCAGGTCTTAGTACCTGGACGTGTCCCAGATGAATAATGGACGTGTCCCAATACACGATTTCTGCAGATCGGCCCCGAACTTGCTCCTTTTCGATTTCTATCTTCAAACCAAACTGCAGGCACCTAATGGAGATGACAATATACACAGAGAACTCCGCGAGAATAGCTAGAGCAACACAAATATCAAATGAAATGCTAATTGAGACACGATATTTGTTTTACATCAAGTTCGGACTCGTCCAAGTCCTACTCTCCGCTGAGGGGGGCTGCAACCCAAATGAAGGTCAGCCCTAGAGGGTACCACGAAGGTCACTCTAGCCGAGTCTTTTCCAACTCCTTTTCCTCCTTCCACTAAATGATTCTCGAGGCGGCTAATCGACCATTACAAACTTTCCGGGCAACCACAATCTCTCGGTTGCTCTCCATGACGCCCTAGCCGTCTAGGACCGAAGAGTCCAAGAGTAACAAATGCAAATCATGAGATTGACAATATGCACAAGTGCTCAAGTGGTGGCTTGCTCTCTTTTTTAATTCTCTCTTAACCCACAAATTGATTTTGCAATTTAGATCACACACTCACTAAGAGAGGGTTTAGGAGACTTGGCAAGGCTCAAAAAAACGTGTGTATATCAATGAATCAGCAGACCTCCAAAGGTGGAGGCTTGGGGGTATTTAAAGCCCCTTGAAAAACTAGCCGCTTTATAGTTGTTGCAATACCGACACGTCCCAGATGACTTACACCGCTTCAACGGTAAATAAAGTTACTGATGAAGTTGTGAGGCGTCGGAACTCTCGAAGAATGCCGGAACTCCCGACCGCCGGAACTCCCGACTCACGTCGAAACTCCCGATCCTCAGCAAATTTGAAAACCAACCGTTGGCCTCTGGTCGTCCATACCGGACACGTCCGGTATGACCTGGACAGTGAACTCTCCAAATTATTTAAATTGCGAGACGTCGGAACTCCCGACCATTGCTGGAACTTCCGACCGTCTTAACTCCCGACATACGTCGGAACTCCCGACGAACCAACCCGAGAACAACACTTTTACAGTTACTGGGCAATTACCGGACACGTCCGGTATGCATACCGGACACGTCCGGTATAGCCAGACCAGCAAAAATAAAGTTAGCTCTTTTGTCGCTCAAATACTCAAAACCCACTTGGGTTGGCTTGAGCACTTATGAAACATTATCTATCAACATGATGCATCCCTCTTAATAGTACGGCATTCCTATTTACTAAAATTTAAAAGTATAACAAATTTAAACCTTTTGAGTTGCTCTTTTTGAACCGAAGCCGTGTATTCCAATCTTCATCAAGTGAGGGTGCCAACATGTTGATATTGATCTTTTTCACTTGAGCATAGCCATCTTGAGCACGTGACTTGATTCCATTCATCAAATTTGAATAATCCCAAATGTATCAAGTCACTTCTATCAAACACTCCAATAGTGATTTGATCCTTCACATCAATATGACCATCGTAGCTTGATTAGTACATCAACTAAATGCAAATACTTTCTTCTTCACCCTAGCTAGGTTCTTCGACCGCCAAGCCGTCGCTTGCCCTTCACCCTTGCTTAGTACCTCGAAGCCTTTTCTTGCTATCTTCACCATCTCAAGCCATCAAGTCACATCTTGTGTTGAATCATCCATTCATTTGTATTGTTGTCTTTTTTTCATTTCAATTTAGCAAGCTTCAAATATGAGACCATTCCATTTGTAATCCCTTATGTCTCATTAATTAATTCTCACAAGCTTGCTTTTACATAGTACATGGAAATCCCACAATAAACAAGCCTAAGCATGAATTCCATTTGCATTGTTGTCTTGTGCTTGAACTAGATTGTTTATACAACAACACATCATTTTGGCTTTCATTAAGTACCTGTGAGATAACCTATCACCTGTCCACACTTAGCAAACGGATTAGACCTTTAATCACGTTGTCATTCAATCATCCAAACCCCACTAAAGAGCTAGATGCACTTTCACATAGCTCGGCGCCGTAGTAATTGACGTCAAGCTCGGCGCCAAGATCTACGGCGCCGAGCTCAGCGCCAAGATCCACGGCGCCGAGCTCATGCCACATTCGCGCCACGCAAGCAGCCACGCCAACGACACACGGAAAATGACCCTGGACCTCGGCGCCAAAGCAATTGGCGCCGAGACGTGTAAGCTCGGCGCCAATTGTCACGGCGCCGAGGTCAGGGTCTATTTTTTGAAAGGATACTGCCAGGGGCATATTTATGAAAATCTTTCAAAAAAAAAAAAGAAGGCTGAGAAAAAAAAATCGGGGCGCCACTCGTCGTCTCTGTATAAGACTGGATCGAGCAATTGCTAGTGCAGTCGTTCTAAAAGCCCACACCCTACACGCACCATCAGTTCTGAAAGCCCAAAACCGTGCGGAATAGAGTAGTGCCATGAAAACGTGCGATTGGGGAAACAAAATGGGGTAGGAAGCTTGCAGCTAGCATCCAGGACGAAGGTTTTGTGATCCACCTCAACTCAACAACACAGCGAAACTTCGAGAGAAAAAAGTGAGAAAGTGGCCATGGACAGACAGGCAATTGCTGGTCGATAACAATAAAAAGCAGCACGGGCATGGCCTTGTGACGCAGTTATGCTAGAGAATCTTCACAACTTGCACGATTCAGATCCACAGAGAGATGTCCAGTAGGAAATAGGAATCATGCTCAAGAATACCTTTCTTCCCAAACAGAACAGAACTGAACTGAAGCAACTAGTCAGAACCATTCACCCAAGAATCTGTTATTCTCAGTTCAGAAGATGTCACTGTACATGTCCAACTCATCAAGGCCAAAAGAAGTACTGCCTGAATCTATACACACCAACAGCCCTAACAAACAACTTTGTCAAACAAGATATAACCACAAATAAACAACTGATTGAACAAATCACGAACTAAAACTACAAAAGCTAGTTCTCATGCTACAGTATATTCTCAAAGAGAAAACCCCTGCTGGCATGTATGTTCAGTATATTCTCAAAGAGCAAACCCCTGCCTTATGATGCCATTGTGCTAGATAACCTTCACAACTTCTCGGATCCAGAATCGCAGACATTACAAATGTTCAGTACACAACAAACCCAAGAACATTTTTCTGAACATCAAATGGACAACTAGTCACAAATTAGAACCAAAAACCTATTATCCTCATTTAAGACCAGCATATGTCAGTGTACAACAACTATCGAAATCCACAAGCCCAAAGAAATGTCATCTGAATCTATACAAATCAACAGCCCTAACAAACAACTGACCAAACAAAAGATCAAGCAAAAATAAACTACTAACTAGACAAAAGAACTCAAAAACTCAAATTAACAAGCTCTAAAAGGAAGTGGGGTATCAAGGTTCTGGAGTAGCCCTCTGGAGTATGGCCATGTATGCGGTTTGTAACCAATCAATTTGCAGGTAGACCCCAGCAGTCCACAGCAGAGCTTATATCCAGAAATCCAAAGCTCAGGCTCCAATGTGCTACTCTGATGAGATCCTGAACTATAACTTTTTATCTCCATATGCATAATTTACACTGGCTCAGCTTGAAACTCTTTTATTCCCAATCAACTGAGTATCAACCTGTCTTCTAATGGAAGCCAAGCAAAAGTTTCCTCACCTACCACTATATTGCGAGCGGGTTTCATAGTCTGGTGAGACGCCATGCTCACTCATGCTGCCCCTTGACAGGCTTCGCAACCTCTGCCAGAACTTCCTGTTCTTGCCTGTCATCAGCGGGCCTGAACTTGACTGCTTGCGAAAAGAATCCGAATCGGCAGCTGGAGTAAAGGCTGGTGTGGAGCCATATATCTCGGATATTAGCACTCTCTCGGCTTCCATGCCAGTCGCGTCATAAATTGCCGTAGTTTGCATGGGCAACTCCTGGCTGAATCTTCCTGATGCAAGGCAGTCGTCACCCTCGCTGCACACAAGTTTCAACGCCTGCACTACTTCACCCATGCTGGGGCGGTGCGCAACCTCAGGTTGTACGCACATTGATGCGATGGCAGCTGCTTTTGCTACATTGTCCAGTAGAACGTTAGGGCCAAGAAGTGGATCGATGGCTTGGCGTAGGCTCAGAACATTTGTTAGAAGGGGTCGAGCCCATGCAACTAGGTTTTCTTGCCCGGCAGGCCGAGTCATATCCACAGGTTTCCTACCAGTGAGGAGCTCAAGCAATACAACTCCATAACTGTACACATCACTCTTTACAAGAAGATGACCCGTCATGGCATACTCCGGCGCAACATAGCTGATAAGAAAGCAAGATGATCATGGTTTTGTCTATATAATGCAATTTAATAAGAAAGAGAGTTCATACCCGAATGTACCCATGACACGCGTAGAGATGTGCTGGTTCCCCTCTCCCCTTGCAGTCCTGGCAAGTCCAAAGTCTGACACTTTTGGTGTGTAATCATGCTCCAGAAGAATGTTGCTCGACTTAAAATCACGATGAATCACACAAGGACTAGAATCTTCATGTAGATATGCAAGTGCTCGTGCTGCCCCAAGGGCTATCTTCATACGGGAATTCCAATCAAGTGGATCTGTCTCACGGTCCGCTCCTACAGTGAGCAGACAGAAAACAAAAACAGAACAAAGCACATTGCTGTAAGTCAATTTTCGCAACTTCTACATGTACTTGATGATATGGTATACATACCATGCAGATGGGATTCTACGCTGCCATTTGGAATAAGCTCGTATACCAGACACCGTACATTCTCCTCGATGCAGATGCCTAACAACTTGACCAAATTCCGGTGATGCAAACGTCCCAGCATCTCAACCTCAGCCAAGAACTCTCGCTCACCTTGGCCATCATATCTCTTCAGAACCTTCACTGCAACTGTTGTTCCATCTTCAAGTGTGCCCTGGTAGACACATCCGAAGCCACCTTCTCCAAGTACTTTTGAATCATCAAACCTGTTTGTGGCCTTGTCAATCTCAGCAAATTTGAATGTTTTTGCCTGCCCTGCATATGTTGCAATGCTTGAGCCCAGTGAACCTGATGGACCTGAAGGTGAACTATAGCGACCAGCACCAGCTAAAAGTGTGTGACCTGTGCCTGCAATCATTCGAGACGTGTCAGAAGGAAAACTAGTACGTACTGCCTAAACTAGCATATTATTCTAACAAGGACACGTAACAGGATGCAGAACTGTAGAGAAAGCCTTTTAACTGAAAAGTTGTTGCAAGCATTGTTGGCTGGCATTTCAAATAAGCAATGTAATTTTGCCTGGAAAGCACTGCCATTTTTTTTAAAAAAAACTTGATTATCAACTATAAGTTCATGATGAATTTCAACAGTGGCACCCCTTCATTGGAGAACAGTTACTGTTATTCTGCTATGAATCAAATAGCTAGTGCCAATTACATTATCAGAAAATTAGCAGGTTAGTTAGACGTACCAGATGACCTAGAAAATTTTGGAAATACAGTATGTGGAAATCCTTGAGCCGTGTCACTCGGACCCCTGAATCTGAGGATCAGCAACCATGCAGCCAGACAGCAAATAATCAATGCTATAACAGTAGACAAAACAGCAATAGCAATGAGGCTGCCATTCACTTTTCTCTTGGGACTTCTTACATCTACCCCAAGAGGCTTCATGGCCCTTGCATTTCTGTTGTTGCCAAATGCCCCATCCCCAACACCTTCTGGCCCTGAAGGTGGTGAAGGAGGAAGCCCTGCACAAAATTCATATTTCTTGGTGAGAACTAGTGGCGTAGAATTTTAATAATTTCAACAAATAAGATAATGCATGATTTCTTTTACACTGTTATCTACTTTATGCATATCAAATCAATTGACAATAATAAATTGGACCGCAAATAGATGCACTGATCAGCAATAGAATAACCAAATACAAAATGAGTCATGAGCACTAGCAAGACCACGGACCTGGATATACAACATAGAGAATCTCATAGTTCCCAAAGACTGATGGTTTTAAAGAAACTTTTTTGCTCCACAAGCTTTCAAATGCTGAAAACGCTGTAGCATTGTCGAACTTCACTTGCACTGGAACTAGATCAACAAGAACCATTGTTTTGTCAGGTTGATCACCTGCAACATTTGCACCCATTACACGGACCTGCCTCTGTGCCATGTTTACTCCTGAAGCTACCTCTTCAGCAAAATCAGAGACCAATGGAAAAAATGAATAAAGGTCAACGCTTAGACGAATTCCAACTCTGATTGGTAACACACAGGCACATGGTGCTCCCGCAGGTGGATCTGTTAGAGGCTCTGGGCACGATAATGAATTGCAATCTGCATTTGACAGGTTAAACATGTAAGCAATCACAAATATCATACGCCATACAGGTAATACCAGATCCAACATGTAAGTTTTGAAATGATAACCGAATGAGAACGTATACAGAAACTGTACCTCTGTTTCCATTATCTAAAAAAGTACAGAAAACTGTACCTGAATTAGGTGGTGGTGGAGGTAATGTCCAAATAGGATGTGCTGATGGTGCTTTTGGCTCCGGTAGGGGAGGGATTGGAGGCAGAGTAGGAGAAATACTATGCCCTGAAGAATTCAGCAGTTTTAGAAATTTCTAGTGACAAATGGAAAAGGCAACAATAAGTGAAGCAAAGAGACAAGGCACTGAAAGTACTTTTCTTCCCGTTAGCAGGACCCCTTGATGACGCTGGCGAAGGGGATGGGGGGTGTACAGGAAAGCTTGGGTGTCCTGGACAGGAAAAAATTATGTGAAAGTTGTTAGCGTGTGAAATGAATTCAATGTTTAAGCAGACATATTAGCCTACGTTACCTTCAGGGATTGGTGGAGGCGCATGGTGAGTATGGCTTTTAGTCCCAGTCTGTCTTGGAGCTCGTGAGACCTCGGGCCCTGTAATGCATAATCTTTTAGATCAATGTTCAGAACTGACAATATTTAGGCTGCAGGTAGAAGTTTATAGTCAAACCTTGAGCACGAGGTGGTGGATAAGATGGGGCAGATGATGTATTTGTTCCGTTATTGGCATTACTGGATTTCCATCCCCGAGCATGAGATCTACCAGTGGGTGCCAATTCTGGAGCTACACTTGGTGGTGAGGGTTGGGCATGTGACACTGATGAAGCATTCTTCGGGATTGAAGGCATGTTTGTGTTCTGGGGCAAAGGACTTGTTGCAGGCGCAGATCCTGAAACAAGTAGTTTTGGTTGTCAATCTACATTGTCATGTTCAGGAAGACACAGCCTAAGTTTATTAGCTGAGATTACCAGTAACTGGTGATTTGTGACCTGGGACAGTTTGGCCAGTGGATTCCTTTGGAGGGGATGCATGTGGAACATGATGCTTCTTGAGATTTGTAGGAGGGTAAGTCTTTGCTGGTGGCACTGTGTTTCCTAAATATTAACATATAGTCAAATATTTAGTACAAAAGGGATTAAAGCACAATCAGATGTATCAAACTAGGTGATTTTATCCTCACCATTCTTATAATCTCTGCTTGGAGGATCTGCTTGCTGTTGTGGTGCTTGTGCAATAACAGGTGATGCGGTCGGAGGTGGGATTGCTGTTCAAGAAATGGGAAATGACAAGAGATATATGTCGCCTGATTGATTTGATGTACTTTCAGGGAGGGAAATTTACCTGAAGTGGAAGGAGGAACAGCGGGAAAACTTCCTGAAGGTGGGTATGGTGGAATATCATTTGCCGGAGGGGGCAATGCAGGCGGTTGATAAGGAGGGACTACAAATATTTTCACGAGTGAGTTGAGATTTTTTGCAGAAAGAATTCATGGAAAATCAAGAATCTTAATCACTTCTATCAATCAGAAAATATACCTGATCCAACTGGCCTTCTTGGTTGATTATTTGCAGATGGAGGTGACGCGACTGGTGGATTTGTCTTGAGAACAACAGATGGAGGTGACGCGACTGGTGGATTAGCCTTGAGAACAACAGATGGAGCAGGAGCCTGAACAGAAGGTAGCAATGCAGGTGTCCCAGGAAGAATTGGAGTGGGATTTTTAACTGCAGCTCGTGGTGGAGCTACTGGTGGAGGAACCTCATCGGTGGGATCAGGGGGTGCAACTTCAACTGGAGGTGCATTATACTCTACATACATAACACAAAGTTTGCAGTGCAGCCATTAGGACCGGAACATCGTATCTAACTCCAGGGACGGCAACAAAATTGGAGGAAGATGAGTTACCTTTAGGAGGAGTCACTGGACTCGGAGCATTTTGTGGCTCCGTGGGAGCAGTAGGACTTACAGCTGCCTTCTCCGGGGAAGGACTCGTTGATGGAGTAGCCGGCCCTGAAACAAAGCAATGCAAGGGGTTACACTCCATTGTTGATGATGGTCTGGCAACATTACGTCACACAGTATTGGAATCTCAGAGCTACTACCTTTTGGAACAGTTACTGGACCAAGAGCAAATGCAGGTTGAGGAGGACTAGAAGCCTGTCCTTGGTTTGCAGGAGAATCAGTGACAGCTGGAGAAGGGGCCAGAGTGGTACCTAGATCAAAGTAAAGAAGACAAGTTCATGGCAAGGATTGCAGTTATGAACACTACTCCAACAATTACTAAGATCAAATTTTACGGTCATCAGGATACTGTACCGTGCTGCAGAACAGGTGTAATGATGATGATGCAATGCAAGTACGGGACATGGAAATGCCCGTCACATTTATGCAGGGTAAAATAGATAGATATGCAGACATCCAAAGCGTTTTCAGATAGAAAGCTACAGCAACAGCAAGCAAGCCAGGATGAGAACGAGAAATGTCAAGCCACTGACATTGCGGTATATCCTTCTTAATTGGAAATTCAGAAACATAAATCCCATTGAATTCTAATAAATCCAGAGCATCCTACGCGCAATTGCAGTTTCACGACCACAGATCAGTAAAGGACATGCGCGCCGCAGAGGAAAAATCTTGATCCAGAAATCGAAGTTACCACGACAAATCGAAGCCAGGAGTGAGCTCTTCTGAAATGCTCAGGTGAGGCTGGAAAAAAAAAAAACGTACGGACAAACAAGCACCCAGGCAGCCTCAGCGGCGCTACGCCTCGAGCCAGTTGAGCGGCACACAGCACGGCCCTAAGAAACCAGAGCAAAGGGGGGAAACTGAAAGAAATGTGGCAATGCGTGGAACTGCCCTCACCTCTGGATCCGAGAACGGAAGCAAGAAGAAGCGCGACGAGAGCAAGAGGTCGCATCTTGGGCCCCCACTTCACACGCGCTCTGCACAGCAGGAACCGCGAGCCCGGCAGCAGGCAGTCGCCAATGCGGCGCAGCCCCAGATCACAGCCGCGCCTGCTCAGCCGCGGCGCTAGCTGCTCCTCCCGTCGCAACCGCAAGAAGCCCCTGAAGCGCAGGAAGACGACGGGGCCCGACCGACATTTTGGCACCACGCCATGGAGGACACCGAACCCATGTGGCGGAGAAAGGCCGAGCAGTGGGAGAGGAGGTTTGGAGGACAGGAGGAGGAAGAGGGGAAGGTGCCGCGCCCCGGAGGCAGGAGCAAGACAGCAGCACCACACCACCACCGCCAGTAATAATACAGGTACCGGTAGAGTAGAGCAGGACTCGTAGTTTACGGGGGAGGAAAAGGTCTGGACGTCTGGTAGTAGGCTGGTAGGAGCTAGGAATAAATTACTGCTAGCATCCTCCTAATAACAACAGAAACAAAGGATAAGGCTGTGACTAATCCAGGGGTTGCAGGGCAAGAAACAGTAAAGTAACATTCCTTGCTTCCACCACGCACCCTGCTGCTCTCATGATCTCATCCTCCATTCCTCCTCCACCTCCGAGGTCAGGTCCAGATCATATGGTGATGGTGGGATGAATAAGCTAATAATCTCAGGGCCAGGGATGAAGGGACGAACAAAAGGGAGAATCTTGGTTGGGTTTTAGCGGCGTAGTAATAATTGAGGTGTGGAAAGATGCAATCTTTTGGTAATTAACCTCCCCGGGCAGGGCAAAGGATAATGGGGAGCGCCGGCGCCGGACGTCCGATGGATAGGCGGTTCCGTGGACGCACTTCTCCAATGCGCGCTCTTCCTTCTCAGTTTCGCACCACACTCTACCAGCACGTCCCCCGACGACGCGCGCAAGGAGCGAACCCGCTGGACCGCCGCCGCCGCCCTGAGATCGTGCGCCCGCGCAAACTACCTCTGCTGCGTCTTCGTCAAACGAAGAGCCCCGCTAACATCGACGAACCCGCGACCCGCGATGCCTACAAAGAGACCCGCTAGCCTCTGTGCGGCGTGAGTCCAGACGCCTCAGATTGCCCCATGACCCGTCGCGTCGCGCCCCTTCCTTTATAGAGCATATATTGCATGGCTAACGCCCCCCCCCATACAACACCCAAGGTCCACCGCCCTAGCACCTCCGCCCGCTAGGCCCCGGCAAACCACGTGCCCCTGTTCGTCCTAGCTCGCCCCTCCTCGTCCGAACAACATAGAAAGCTGGAATAAAAAACACGTGCAACAACACGGAAAATAACTACTGCAACATTAAGCTAAAGCAGCTGAAACACTATGAACATATATATTGCAACAACAAGGAACAACAACTGCAACATTAGGATGAAGCAATTGAAACAACATGAACATATTATTGCAACAACAAGGAACAACAGCTAAAACATTAGGCTGAAGCAGCTGAAACACCATGAACATATTATTGCAACAACACCGAACAAACTGCTGCAATAATAGGTTGAAGGAGCTGAAACATTTGGAACATATTATTGCAACACTGGTGTGAAGCATTTGAACAACGCTCGAAAATAAAAACACTTGCAACAACATGGAACAACTACTGCAACATAAGATTGAAGCAACTGAAACATACTGCAACATCTCAAGCAGTACTACTGCAACATCGCAAAAACATCCGTTGCAACAACCCAAAAAATCTCATTGCAACATTCGAAATCATCTGTTGCAACATAAAGAAACCACTGCAACACGGCGAGATCTGACCCCGAGAGCTCACCGGAACCCTAGCCACCGCCGCATCCCTTAGATCCAGAGGAGGAGGAGGAGGAAGGCTCAGATCTAGATCCCTCCGCCACCTACCTCGTCGGAGCCACCGCCATCGTCCTCGTCTCCGGTGGGGTGTGGGAGCTTGGTCGCAGGGACAGTGAGGGTGCATGGAGGTCGCGGTGGGCGAGGGACGGCGGGAGGAAGGGAGCACCGGCGGGCGGGGGCGTGCTCCGAGCTCGTGGGCGCACGGGCGCGGTGTCCCCCGTCTCAACGACGGCGCGGAGAGCGGGTAGGAAAGCGGCGCGGAGGGGGAGCGGGTGTGGGGGAGCAGACGGAACCGGGGAAGTGGGCCAAGTGGGAGTGGGAGTGCGGGGTATCGATCGGTCGGATGCCCAGTCTATAGCATTACCAGATGATAATATAATGCCAACCCGCCCGGTGTGTCCGTCCCTCTCGCTGTAGATTCTTGGCCCGCAGGCCGCGGCTGTGGGGCTTTTCTTCGTCGTGCTGTCCCCGCGTGCGTCCGGCGGTGCGGGGCTCAGGTGACCTCGTCCCTCGTCCGGCAGCGCCAGCCTGGCCAGGCAGGGACAGGGATTAGCCCCCAGGCTGAGGCAAATTCATCAGGTTTACTGTTGGGGCCGGATTGCAGGAGCGCGTGATCCTCTCCTCGTCCCCTCCGTTCCGTGTCACGGCGATACGGCTGCCGGCCGATCCCGATCACGAGCGCGCGGCTTGCTGGGTGGCGTCGTAAATGAGCACAGCGCCGATCACGCCAGTACGCCACCTTGGGCTCCCGCGCGCGCTGCCACGGCCGTTTGTCTGCGCCGGACGGGATCATCTCGTTCGTCTGCGCCGGGTTCTGAGTTCTGACGCGCGGGTTTGTCGTGTCCTCCCGTCTCCCGGGTCGCTGTGCGCCGGTGGTGACGGTGAGCGATGAGCAGGCGCGTCAGGGGCGTTCGGCCGCATGCGTTTGGTCGCGCGGGAGGGCGAGGTTGTGGCGTCGCGGTCGCCGATGCCCGTCTCTGTTTGCTCGAACTTAGGGTCGTACTCCCTCCGTCCCATTGAGTTTGTCGCTGAAATAATAATAGGAGTTTTTCGACAAACCTTGGGATGGGAGATAAAGTGGAATAACATCATCTCTTATAATAAATCAACATCAGCATCAGCATCAGCTATTTTTTCGGCCAGACGAACAGGGCCGTGGACTGCTAACTTGCAGCCTTGTGGTAGGAGGAGACAAGGAGGGAGCGGCACGGCAGGCGTGGCATGGGACGCGACAGCAGCAGCCAAGGCATCCGATGGCGCGCTGCTGCCTGCTGTAGTCTTGTACGGCGTACACGTACGTGCTCGCGGATCATCATGCCAATCGCAATGCCCGATTATCGTCGCGGCTGCAGTGGGTGAGTGTGTACATCAGGGTTACCGGTGGATTTGCTATTTTGCTTGGGCTTACCTTTAACCCATCCTTACGCACCCTGCTTGCTTGCATGCATCTCGATTGCAACGGACTCCAATCTAATAAATCTAAGCCAAGTCGGATTTGATCAAACTGGAGACGAGAGGGATGGAGAAGCAAGCCTCGTTTTGTCGTCCACTCTGAAGTCTAGCTGAACTGTCCACAGCGATGGCTCACTGGCTCACTGGCCTGACTAGATAAATACACTCGTAAATCGCAGTGTGGCGCTGTCGCCCTGTGATTCCGCTCGTGATCACCGAACAGACCGACGTTTTGGACACACGCCACGGATGCACTGACGACGCACACAATGACACAACAAACAGTACAGAGACGCTCACGCCCGTGGTCGGCTAGTAGAGCCTTCCAAAACCTAGGCTACAAAGCTGCCTCTGCCTGTGCATGCTCCAACACGCATACTACTCCAGGGCAGGCTGCATCGAATCCACCCGTGAGAGACTGTCTTGTCTGTCGACTGTCGTATACGTGAGACTGCGGTGTTTGCTTTTTAGTCCCTTAAAATTCACGTCACATCAAATATTTAAATATTAATAAAAAGTATTAAATATAGATTAATTATAAAACCAACTATACAGATGGAAGCTACAAAGCGATTTTAAACCTAATTAATCTATCTGTGCATGCTCCAACGTTGTCATACTACTCCAGGGCAGGCTGCATCGAATCCACCCGTGAGAGACTGTCTTGTCTGTCGACTGTCGTATACGGGAGACTTTTAGAAGCGTCAGCAGAAACCAAACATGGCCATACTATACGCTCATCTTCAGGCAGTCTTCATGCTTCTCTTTCACTTCAATTTGTGCGTGCGCGAGCGAGCTCGATCGACCTGAGACTTGTCTGAACGAAGCAAGCAATCGACCGCGGCAGTTGGCCATCGCCGTCGTCGACCGGTCGCTTTCTCGTACGCGTGACTCGATTCAGGAGCAAGCAACACCAAATGGCTGCTGCAATCAGCTAACTTCTACTATCTAGGGGTAGTAGATGTGAACAACGCTTCCTTCTTCATTCCACATTTCAACGATATATGCAGCTGCATAAAAGCGTCGTTTATGTCAACTGCAGCCACCAAATGAAGCGACTACAACTGCGTGCAACAGTCTCCTTGCTCCTTTTTTTTCGACTTGGTGATTTCATTCATCGATCAATCTGGATTACAATCTGAAACTAACAGGTGATCTACACAGGTTGGGGTTAGCTGCCACTCACCCAACCTATTATCACCTGAAACTTGCTTAGCTAGTACATGAGCTACTCGGTTACAACAACGACTTGTGGAAACCACAGAAAAATCAACAAAACTAGAGCTAATTTCCCGAGTTTCTCTGATGATGGATGCAATCCGTGAACGTTGATTGGCGCCCTCCTTCCAAAGCTTCACAAACTCCTGGCTATCAGTCTCCAGAATGAGTCGTTGCACCCCTTTGCCCCGAACTAGAGCAACACCATCCCGGCAAGCCAAAGCTTCCAAGGTCAATGCATCGAGGCCATGGGGGTACCATCTCGCCTGTCCACCAACAAAGAGACCTGCATCGTTTCGGAGAGCCACCCCGGACGCACCTTGCCCTTGGTCTGGGTAAAAGCACCGTCTGTGTTACATTTGAACCAGCCTACCAGCGGCATGCGCCAACGCTGCACACTATTTCTCTCCTTCACTGGTTTCATCGGTTTGTTCATATTCCCTAAGTCCAGGGCTGTATCAAGCGACCACCAACTGGTTTGTGGACATCGCCTTGTCGTCGCTGGTTCCGTTGCATCCAAAGTGAATACATGCCGATGATGAAAATGGCCCGCTCCTTGTCATTGCACAGTTCATCCATCAGCAAGTCACTTGCCCAAGAAACCGGATGAAGACTTGGTAGCTTTACCCCTGTAATTATCTTCACCTCTCGCCAAAACATCTTTGCCACAGTGCACTCGGTAAGTATGTGCTTGATTGATTCTCTGTCAGCACCGCACAACTCACAAAAGGCCGTTGGCTCAATATGTCTCCTATGTAAGATCTCCTTTGTTGGAAGGAATTTGTGTAGAACTCGCCATCAGAAAACCTTGACTTTCGGGGGTACCTGTAACTTCCAAATCTTCTTCCAGGAATCATCGCGTGAGCCACTCGGCATCTCCTCATCTCCTCAACCGTTCATCGCATACAGCTTTCGATAGGCCGACTTGACTAAGTAGTTACCATGCTTCTCAAGCTCCCACGCCCACCAATCCTCATCTTGTTGCCATATAGGAATTTTGAGGATATCTCTTGCATCGATCGGGAGAAAAACCTCACGCATGAGTACCTCATTCCAAACCCCCGACTTAGTCATGAGTTCAGACACCATAGTTAGTGCCTGGCCATCTCCAGGAGTGATCGGTCGAGCATCAAAATATGCAGGTATCCACCTGTCCCTCCAGATGTCGGTTTGCTCGCCATTCCCAATCCTCCTGATCAGGCCTCTTTCTAGCACTTCCCTTCCTGCTAGGATTTCCCGCCAAGTATGGCTAGCACGCTTTCTCCTAGTGTTGTGCATAAAATCACAGTCATGGTAGTACCTTCCCTTCAGCACCCGTGTGCATAGACTATCAGATCGGGTCACCAATCGTCAACCTTGTTTGCCCAACATTGCTTTGTTGAAGAGATATAAGTCTCGAAAACCCATGCCTCCAGCCAATGAATATGTCTATTATCAGCTGAACTCCGCCACCAATAATTTGCAATTGTTGATATCATCTTTTTGCACGTCGTCTTGGATAGAAGGAAGCAGCTCATAGAGTATGTAGGGACTACCTGAGCCACAGATTGAAGAAGTACCTCACAGCCAGCGCAGCTCGCTTCCCTACCACTCCAAGTACCAACCAAATTTTTTATTCTTGTTGCCATAAAATCAAAAGTCTCAGTAGATGATCTCCCAACCCCAGTTGATAATCCCAGGTATTTATCAGACAACGCTTCTGTTTCAATGTGCAGCTCATGCCTAAATTCTTGTTTCACCTGCTCATCACAATTTGAGCTGAAAATGACTGCCCATTTATCCTTATTCACCACCTAACCAGACCCCGATTGTAGGTCTCTAAATTTCCTGTAATTGAACTGCCCCTCTTTGCGACGCTTCTGAAAAAACGATACAATCATCCTCAAAAAGAAGATTCAAAACCCAGGGAGAGCATGGATTCCCATGCGAACACCCCTGGAGAGATGCATTGGGCCAACTAATTTCAGTAGACATGAGAGTCCTTTAGCACAAAGGAGAAACAAATAAGGGGAAATTGGGTCCCCTCCCGAATCCCCCTAGAAGGCCTGAAGACAGCTGACAAATGGCCATTAACTTTAACTGAAAAAGAGACAGACGTCACACATTTCATGATCAGTGCAACGAACATCTCATGAAAGCCCAGCTTTAACATAATATCGTTGAGATACTCCCATTCCACATGGTCATATGCCTTGGCCATATCCAGCTTTACTGCACAGGCACCAGCTTTCCCTTTCTTGCGCTTCAGGTAATGAGTGCACTCATAAGCAACTAACACATTGTCTGTAATTAGGCGTCCGGAAACAAAAGCGCTTTGTTCCTCAGAGATTATATCATCCAGACAAGACCTCAATCTATTGGCCAAGACTTTGGAACAGATCTTGTAAATCATATTGCAAAGAGAGATTGGCCTAAACTGTTTCATCTCTTATGGATTCTTGACCTTTGGAATTAGCACTATGGTAGTGCTATTAACAGACTCCCGCATAACACCTCCATTCAAGAAATCCAGCATAGCTCCTGCGACACTTGGTCCCAATGTTTCCCAGTGGAACTGATAGAATCCCGCATTTAGACCATCCGGACCGGGTGCCTTTTTTGCACCCATCATGAACAACGCCTCATGCACCTCTTCTGTTGTTAATGGTCTCAACAGAAAGTCATTCATATCTGCAGTGACTTTTGTAGGAACACAACTAAGGATCGGGCCCGGATCAAGCACCTCCTGCCGAGTAAATAGCTGTGTATAAAATTCCATGGCCATCACCTCCAGCTCCTCCTGAGTAGACACCATCAACCATCTTCTCTTTTTAGAGCCATAATTCGATTACTCTTTGCTCTCTCATTCGATTTTGCTTGGAAAAAAGCTGTGTTACGATCACCCTCCTTGAGCCATTCAATTCGGGACCATTGTTTCTCCATGCATTCTTCTCTTGACAAAAGTTTAGACATTTTCGCCATCAGTTGCCTTTCCTGCCTTGACGGCCCAGAATGCAACGACTGACGTCGCACATTCTCCAGCTCGCTGCACATTCTTGCTAGCTCTTGCCGAACTAATCCAAAGGAGGATCTTTCCCACTCCTGCATCACCTTCAACACATGGCCAATATTCGCGGCAAATTG